GGGTCTAATTGATGGGTCGCTTGGGACTCGGGTTCTAATGCTGACTTCACCACTTCACAGCTGGTCTCAGGGTTCCGGTGAGCAATTCCACTTCTTTGGGCTTTAGTTTGCTCATCTGTAAAATGAGGGTGAAAACCATCTCCCCGTGGGAAGGACAAGGGCACAGCAGTGGGGAGCAGCGGCCTCTCCCAAGGGCACCAACGTTTCTAATAACACCGGCCTTGCAACGCCCCTTCCCTGTGGCCCAGGGTCCCCGCTTGCTGTGTGACTTGGCGAGGTGCCTTGGCCTCTCTGGCTCTTTACATTTGTCAAATGAGTGGGCTTGATTGCAGAATCCGAGGTTCCTCTAGCCTTAACAGCCCTCCGCCCTCAGATCGCCTCTGCTGCACACCCATACTGTTTATTTTAAACAGCTCTTCATTATGCCCCACTTGCCTCTGCTGGCGGTAATACTTTTAGATAACAGTTGCGCAGAATTAATAGGAGCCAGAGGAATTGTTCAGGTTTTTTTTTTTTTTTGCAAATGCAAGGAATGAGCAGTATATTTATGCACATAATTACCCTTTCTTTCTTTCCTCTGCAATCTAAGAGCCAGCAGTGATTGCTTTTCCCTCCTGTTGGTGCGGAAGACGGTTTTATGCTAATCTGAGGACACACCGCCCAGCACAGCTTTGAAAGGAAGCAGAGGTGCTCAGTTGCAAAAAGTGCTTTTTAATCACTTCCCTGAACGTGAGGGTCTGACGCCCCGAGGGGAAGTGCTTATTCTGTGCTCCCTGGACTTGGAAAAGAAAGGGATTCTCGAGTGTGGCCCTCGGTCAAATTCTCAGACACCAACGAACCCGTTTTCCCAGCTCCTTCTCTCCCCAAAAGCCCAGCTGTGATGAAGACGATGATGATGATGGTGATGATGATGATTAAGCCTGGTCTTTTCAGTGCATTATTCTTTGCTCAGTATGCAGTTGACTTATGGCTAACCCCAAAGGCTTTGAGGTTAATTTCTGCTCTAAAACCTTTCAGGGCTCCCTATTGCTGGTGATATTGACACAGACTCCTGGGCCTCTTGGGTTGAAATTCCCTGAGAAGCCAGACTGGACGAGTTGCTGTGTTTCTTTGTGTGACTTTCCACAATCCGTGCTCACCCCCATCCACGGATAAATTCCCTACCATTCATCTGCGTGTCATCGTGTGGTTGATTTCACCCTCTTCCTTCTTTCTTCTATGTCCTCAGCCACGTGGCTTTATAGTAACTTGTTCGGGCCACCATTTGCCATCTCCCATCAGAGGGATTGAAGCAGAGATGTACAATACAATATCACATTCAAAATCTGCAGCACTAAGTGGAAAAGAGAGTTCAATAAACTTTATGGGAGATGCTATAAGTTGTAGCATTTACACTTCCCAAGTCATTAGAGTTTGAAGCTACATGAGACCTTTTGGGGCCCTGTATTTCCCAACCCCTTGACCTTGGCTCAGTCTTGTCCAGTGGGAAGAAAGATGGAGGAGAGGAGGTGGCCGCTCACTGGTCCAGGGGGACAAGGGACACGTGGCGCGGCTCCAGTGCTACAGCGGAAGTTCAATGAGCTGATATGCATGTGCATGAGAGAGAAATGACCGAGGTTACACTCCTGCGACATGGGGTGGTTGGTTCCGCAGCCAGAGTCACCCAATGCACACTGACTGCTATGCAGTGTCCCGCCTGTGAGAGGTGCTTAGTAAATATCGAGTTAAATTAGCAAACGGGTGCATTGTGCTTTGGGGAGCACGTCTGTTCTTAGGTTAATTATTTGTTTCATTAATTAAGGACTTGGGTTTTCATCTAGATGAACTCACACAGCTGTGGGGGGAAGCTGGCTTCTCAGAGGCTGAGACCTCCTGAGTCTCGGGAAATGCACTTTCTTGGGAATAGCAGCGAAGTGACAAGTCCCCTGGGTATCACACACAGGAAGCAGAGGGAGGTGGACCTCACTGCCTGGTGCTAGACCAGATGTTCCCCAAGGGCCCCCTTTCCCAGGCCCACAGACCCTGCTTTATCCAGGGTCCACCGTGCTGCTGATCCACAAGTTAGAACTTCAGATGACCTTGACCAAGACCTCTCCCACCCGACATCTGCAGTCACAAGGCCGCCAGATCCACTGTGCCCGGCTCAGGATCACCCTCCTCTCTCCGCCCACAGCCCCGCTTTCCCAGTCAGTGCTGCTGCAGTCTCTCCCCGGGGACCACACCGCACTCCTCTGCTGTCTCCGTCTCTGATCTTCGCCCCACCTCGCCGGTCTCTCTGCCACCTGCAGGTACATGGCGCTTTCTAGCATGCAGATCTGATCATCTATCCCTGCTGTGACTGAACGTTTTATCTATGACCCCCTGGACATGCTGGGGCCAATTCAGCGACCCCTGAATGTGACTCGAGACCTTGATGACTGACTGCTCTGCCCCCGCACTCTCTGTTCCCGCTTAGTCATGTTGCTGTTCCTGTTTCCTCTGTGACCTCAGTGCCTTTGTGTGTGCTACTCTGTCTCTCTGGAATCCTCTTCTCTGCTTCCAGCATGCTTCCTCTGAGAAGCCTTCCCTGATCCTCTGATGACATCAGCTGCTCCTCATTGGTGTCCCACGCTCTGTGCAGCCCCAGCCTGCCCCACCCGCCGCCTTCTAGCATGGATGAAGCTTAGTGTGAGACCGAACCCAGAGTCCCTCTGTTCCCTGCTGCATCCCATGCTAGAGTGGGTGTCAGCTGACAGTGTTGGTCATTTAACAGACCATGCCCCACTCCAGCTTCCTTGTCTCTACCCCAGGGCTTTTGCATTTGCTGCCCTTCTCTTTCTGGTCTCAGTTCACCCGGATTTTCCTTTGAGAAGCTCTCCCTCACTTACAAAATAACCCCTCACTTGGCTCCTCTGCACCCCACTATCTTATTATCTTCACACACTTGGGCTCATGTGGAAGTATTTTGTGCATCTACTGTCTTGTTCACTGTTTGTTTCTTCCCCCCTTGAAGGTAAATTCTCAGAGGGGAAAGATTTTGTCATTTATTGCTGGTTCCCTGGTTCAGGGTCTTGAACATAGTAGTTGCTCAATAAACTCAATAAAACACTTGTTCAATGAGTGTGTGGTTAGAGAATTAAGCCTTTTAGCACCAAAATGCTTGAAAGGACTGAATTTGAGCAGACCAAGCACTCTTTTTTCTTAATTTTTAGTGTGTTAATCAATTTTATTGATCAAGGACAGTTTTCCATGAGGCAGCTGGCTCATGGCCTATGGTTGAATGAGATCAGGTGCATGACCGACAGGCGTGGATCCTGGCAGTGGGGCATCCTTTTTCCTGTCACAGAAAGAGTGCAAGAATTCTGCCGTCGGGACACTGCTCCTGGCCTTCTTCCAGAACTATCTTAGCATCGGCCAGAATCTTATTCATCCCCCGAGAGCATGTTGGATCATTGTTGCTATTTTTTACTGCAATATTTAGTTCTAGCAGATAGGAAGAAATACTCTGACATAACTAGTATTTTTCTAGCCAGGAAGGAAAATAATTACAGTCTCCTTAATGAAATCAGCAGCCTGTAGTAGGTAAGTGTTGCTCTCCCATTCCTTAATTTAGAGAGATGTGCTGATGCCTAGTGGCAGAAGCATTTGTTAAATACAGGTGCATCTGCCAGCGTCTTTGTTGTCCCTGTTACATTTTCTATGCTCTGCAGTGTGGCATTCTTGGAAGCACAATAAAACCCGGATTATAAAGATGCCAGCGAAGAAATAAAGTGGAAACAAAGTCTCTTGCCAACCCACGCTCTGCTTTAAATAGGGAGCGATGTCTATTGAATAATTCAGCCCTGCTTGTCAAAATATTTTTTTGGGGGGTGGGCTTTTCATTTGGAGAGACTCCAGGAGGCTTTTAATTATAGTCTTTACTGCTACTGTGGCACAGGAACAAGTCCCGGGCTTCTTGCTTCGTGTGCCCCGTCACGTAGCGGGCTCTGGAGAAGCTCCGTCGGTGTGACCCAAAGCCAGCGTGTTCTCATGTCAGTTCTAAGCTCGCGTGCACTTGACACAGGTCTGGGAATCAGAGTAGAAAGCCGGTGATGGTGTTTCCGCTCAGGACGGTGTTAGCACTGCACACCGGTTTTGTTCAAGTTCTCACTTGCGTCTGGCTTCTCTGCCTGTCCCTGGTGCTCCCTGAGGAGTATCTGGGTCCCACGGTCCATGGGATCCGAAGAGAGAGTTTTTGTTTTTAAGCCCCAAGATCTTTCAGAGGAGATCCAAAAGGACATCCAATGAATGAAGGCCCCGCACCCCGCAAGGGATGGTTGGAGAAAAAGTACTTTTGAAACAGGGTCTCGCTATGTATTGCAGGGTGGCCTTGAACACGCTTATGTAGCCTAAGCTGGCCTCGAACTCACAGTGATCCTCCTGCCTCAGCCTCCAGAGTGCAGAGTGTGCCACCCACGTCCAGCTTACATTTTTGGTAATAATATTAATTCTGGTCTGTTCAGCTCCAACTCTATGCCGGGGCTATTTATTACTGCACTACGCCCCCAGCCCCTGTATTTAATCCTTTCTATACACGACCTTATTGAAGGAGGTGGATCTATTTATGTCCACTTTACAGATGTGAAGCTGAGATTCAGAAGTCCAAGTGCAAGGCTAAAGTCCCAGAGCTGGTATGGGGATCACTGTGAGACTGAGGCCCCAGACTATTTGACTCCAAACCTGCTGTTTGCTTAGGGTGGGCGTTATGAGAATCCCTAGTGGTTGGAGAATCCAAGCTTACTGTTCCCCATGAAGGAGGTGTCAGGATGTTCTCACTGGCCCACAGTGGACCCTGCAGTCAGACGGACCTGGGTTTGGGTTCTGACTTTGCCACTAAGCGGCTGTGTTTGAATAACGGCCCCAGAGAAGTCCGTGTCCAAGTCTGGAGCAGCCGGTGAGCCTGTTGCTTTGATGGCAAAAGGAATCTGCTGCGTTTAAGCCAAGGAGCCTCATCGGGAAGGGGCCGTGATCCGGGTTACTCACCTGGCTCTGCTGTCCTCCTGCGGGGATCACAAGAGAGAGGCAGGATGTGAGTAGTAAGAGGGGGCAGGGCGACAGCTGTGGACTGGTGTGACGCACCTTGAGGATGGGGGGTGGGGCCACAAGCCGAGGAACACAGGCGGCCCCTCGAAGCCACGAGGTGGCTTTTCCCTGCAGAGCCTGTGGAAGGAACCAGCGCCTCTGACACCTTGACCTCTGCCCTGTGGAACTGAGAACAATGAGAAATGAAATCTGCTTCGTTTTAAGCCCAAAACCTGTGGTCTCTTATTATAGAAGTAGTGGGAAATAGCTCACCAGATGTTTGTCTTGGGCTGGTGGGTGACCCTCTCTGAACCCTAGTTTTATCATCTGTGAGAGGGGAATGATAGTGACATTGCTCATACCATAGCCTGAGAGTGGGTGTGTGCTGATTGAATATTAGATATTCCTGCTGCTGTTTTGCATTAATGCTCATATGAAAATAAGCACAGCAGTTAGAACCCTAAAATACAAAGCAGTGCAAGTGCAACTTCTTGTGGAACTAACCCGAAGCCTCTATTGGGTTCTTACACTATGTGCTGTTGGGGCAAGTGTACCGATCTGTGCGTTTCTTATAATAATATCCCAGCATTCTAGTAGGATCTGGTGCACAGTAGGTGCTGCAGAAAGCTAAGGTACCTGCTATGGTTAAAGACAGAAGATTTGCTTTTCTTATGGGTGGGGGCATAGCTCAGGGGTAGAGCACTTCAGAGCAGGTGAAAGGTCCTGGGTTTGATCCCCAGCACCACACACACACACACACACACACACACACACACACACAGAGCAAGAAACCCCGTTTCTCTGCTGTCCTAAATTTTTTTCTGGTGGAGGTTGTCACTCTGAGGTGAGGCTTGCAGACCCTGGCAGGACAAGAGACCTGCCCTGGGGCGAGGGGCCGGCCTCGTGTCCCCAGCCATCTGGTGAACCTTGGCGCAGCCTCCCGGAGGCCCGCAGCCGCTCACTCTGCAGTCCTGGCCCAAGCTTTCCTCTGGCCGCCTGCCACTTGGCCCAGCTAGCTCTGGCCACTGGAGAAGTGGTCTCCGTGGTAACGCTGTCAGCGGCCTTGGCCAATGGGAGCCAGAGGGAGGGAAGGAGGGCGGGACATCCGGCTAGCGTGCGATTCTGCTTCTCAGGAGCCCACCGAGCCTGGATGGGGGGTCTGGTCTCAGTGGCTTCTTGTTCTCCATACGTCAACCTGCTAAAGCTTCTGCGTGCCTCAAGGAACCCTAACATAGCCACTGATGTTGACAAAAGGCTCCGCGAATCCAAGTCAACCCTGCTGTGCACTGGTGGTCCACAGTCACTTACTTAACATCCCCCAGCCCGAAAGTTTTGTCATCTGTAAAGCTAAAAAAAACACAAACAAACAAACTGCAAAGAGACAGTCTATGAAGCCCTAAGTACAATGCTAGGCAGCTAGTAGGTGCTCAATAAAGTTTTCTCTATTTGCTCTGTTGCTTGAGATAGGGAAACTGAGGCCTGGATCCTGTCCCCAGGATTTTCCAAGCTTCTGCCCTGTTCTCCCTTCTTCTATGAGCAATTTCTTCCTGAGAAACGCTTCTTTTTTCTCCCTGATCAAAATGTTCCCATCAGTTGACTCCATCACCTGGGCCTTGCCGAATATGGGTTTATCTCTGATAAATAAATCCATTCCCAAATTTTGAGGCTGCATTTGGAGCCTTTCGGGGGATTTTTGCATCTTAGAAGAAGATTCCCAGAGATGATCATAAATTAATTGTAAGACAAAAATCTTGGGAGAGGGAAAAATTTCAGGCACCAGAATGGGGAGGGGGTAAAAAGTAGACGGTGTCACTGAAGCTCAGAGAAGTCAAACAATGTGTCCAGAGCCACACAGCAGCTATGTGGCGAGGCTGGGATTTGAACCCTAGCCTGCTTTTCAGTTGATCTCATCGACCATTCTCCCTTCCTTTTTAGCCTCATTTCCTCATTATCCTCCTAGAGCAATGCACAGGGAAGATCACCTTTCAGCTGCCCTAAAGCCAGCAGTCACTCAGGAGCCAGCCGAAGAAATGAAGGAGGCTGTGTGTTCCTGGCAGAGGCAGGGTGGCCGCAGCTCATCTGGGAGAACAGACTTTATCAAAAGCATCGCTTCCCCCTGGGTAGATAGAGAGCATTTCTAACGCAGGCCTCGGGGCTGAGCAGGGACCCAGCTGCCTGTCTCTGCAGCCTGAGCCTTTCCCTAAACCACGAGAAGGGGACTCTCTCCCGCCTGAGCCACTGCGGCAGCCCTCTTTGGCTGGAGCCCCTCTGCCCCCGCCCCTCCCTGTTTGTCCCCTCCTTCGGGGCTGAGAAAGGTAAAGAACGCACACTCAAGACCAGTGTTTTCCTGCCATGCCCCGCGTGTAATTAAGACCTGCGAATCCCTGCTGCCGGGGGGTTGGCACGTGTGTAATTAATCCCAGGCACCTTGGGTGGCCCTGCGTCCCCAAATGGCTACTCTGTCACTTTGCCAGGCTCAGAAGGACCAGCCTGGCCGAGCAGGTGGGATTCACTGGCGCCGAGAGCAAAGCTGATCTGTCCCTCCACCCGCTCTTTCATCCCCACCTCCCAGGCCACTCCAGCCCCTGCTGGGAGACAGAATGATCAGCCCCTTCCCTCGGGCCCAGGGTACTTAATTCTCCAGTGCCCATAGGGAAATACGGGGTAGGGGTGGGGGCAAAGTTAAAGGCAAAGCAGAGACCAGCGCTTGTCTCTGTCTCTGGAGGCTTCCTGAGGCGGCTGCATGCACCTCAGTTGTCTTTCTTCCGCTTTTCAGAATGGCAAAATGGAACCGTGTGTGGCAGTGCCCGCCTGTAATCCCAGCACTCCGGGAGGCTGAGGCAGGAGGATGGCGAGTGCCAGCCCAGCCTGGGCCACTCTGCAAGACACTGTCTCAAAGATACAGAAGTCTTTGTAATGTAGCTCGGAGCAAAGGTCCTGGGTTTAATCCCCAGTACCACACGCACGCATGCGCACACACGCACACACACGAAGCAAAATTGTTCATGCTCCTGGTGACATATTCACTGAGGCATCAGTGTGGAAGGGGACCAAGGAAAGCCCTGTCATTCCCGCACTCCGCCCCACCTCCCGAGACACCCGGAGAACAGAGGTCTCCTTTCCGACTGTCCAACGTTGCTATGGAGATCACCCAGAGGTCAGCCTCCGTTCTGCGCCAGATTTCCAGTTTTCCGCGCCGACCCCGCGGGGCCTGGAACCGCGCGCACCCAGCCCCGGCGGGCGAGTGGGAGCCGGTCCGGGAGGCAGGGGGGCTTGGCCCTGGGCGGCCTGTCCTCCCCTGTCCCCGCTGTGGGCTGCGTTCTAGGGGCCGCCCAGACTCCCACCCGGTCCCAGTCGCCGCCAAAACGTTTTTTTCCGCTTGTGAATACATGGCTCATCTCTGAAAGACTGAGGGGAATGAAACACTCTTCATCGTCTAACATACAGACTCCTACCTGCAGTTGTTTTATTTTTATCATCTTTATCGCTTACCAAGCAGGATTGAACTGTACACAGGCTACAATTTACTTTTGTATGTAGTATTTCTTTTTTTGTGGTACTGGAGATTGAACCCAGGGCCTTCACACTGAGCTAAATCTCATTATTATTATTATTATTAATTTTTTTAAGATAAGAATGTGCAATCTTCCTGCCTTAGCCTCCTAGATAACTGGACTTACAGGCCTTTACCTCCAGGCCTAATTTACAATTTCTTATTCTTTCTTTCTCTTTTATTTCCAATTTTCTTTTTCAATTTTTTTCCGGTGCTGAGGGTTGAATGCTGGGCCTCACACATGCGAGGCAAGTGCTCTACCACTGAGCTACAATACACCTCCAGCCCTTACAATGTGGCTTTTGAAATCAACTCTTCTGAGTTATAATTTCTTCACCCTACAATCCATCCACTTAAAGTGTACAGTTCACAGCCTGGTGTGGTGATCCATGCCTGTAATCCCAGCACTCAGGAGGCTGAGGCAGGAGAATCCCTGTGAGTTCGAGGCCAGCCTGAAGTGCATAGCAAAACCCTGTCTCAAGAAGACAACAAAAAGTATATAATTCAGATGTTTCATGTATTCACATGGTCATGTAATTATCACCACATCTAATTTTGGAACATTTCTGTTTCCCCTGAAAGAAACCCATGAGCAGTAACTTGGTGCCTGTGAGTGTGCCCGCTCCCAAATCTCTCATTTTCTATTGCCATCGAGTTGCCTGTTGTGGACATTTGATAGCAATGGAATGACCGTTGTCCTTTTGCAAGTGGTTTCCTTTACTTAGCGTAATGCTCGCAAGGCTTGGAGCATGGATCAGTCGTTTGCTCTCTCTCATGCCCGAGCACCATCCCATCATCGGGAGGACAGATCATGTGTTATTCAGCTACTCCTCAGTCGATGGACAACGCTGGGTTGGTTCTACCTTGTGATTACTATAAATAATAAAGAAATGCCACTAGCAACACTTGTGCATGAGTTTACTCTCAGTTCCCTAGGTATAGACCAAGGAGAATTTCTGGGTGTTAGGGTATTGCTGTGTTTAACATTTTGAAATCCTAAAATTGTTTCTCAAGGCAGCTGTGCTATTTCACACTCCACCAGCAGTGTACAGGTTTCCCTGCATACCGATGACACATGTCACCTCCTGTCTTTTTAACTGTAGTCATTCTAGTGGGTGTGAGGTCCACTTATTAATAGTCATAGGCATATTTCCAGGCCAGAAGGTGCAGATCTACCTAATTTTTTTTAGTGACGTAATGATATCTCATAGGGTGAAGATGCCCTAATGACTTCCATTCCCTTTCTGAACTAGTCAGAATAATTTTCTCTAAGTCACTAAAACAATCAGAGTGAAACTGCCATAAGCTACAAAGCTACACAACAGAAAAGTCTACGGTATGTCAAGCTTCAGGTGTGGCTTGACCCAGGTGCTACGTGAAGTCACCAGGATCTTCCTTCTCCATCCCCAGACTTTGATTTTTCTGTACAGGTTTAAATCACAGATACATTGCTCCTTAGTTCTGAGAGGGCTGATGGCAGCCCCTTCTTCACTACAAAGGTCAAATCCTGCTGAAAATGAAGTGTTTTGCAGCAGACCTGACTGAGGATTCCATCCTCAGACCTTTTCCCCATCTATTTTTGACTCAGCACCTGCCCTGTCGGCTTGATGACTTTGCCATGCGTTGTCTCCTGCCTGGCGCCTCCAGAAACCTCAGACTTCTCTCTCCGAGCAAATTCCCTGCTTTCAAAGTCTTCCCGACCTCACCTTCCCTGTTGCTCAAGCCCCAATCCAGCCTCCACTCCCACTCCCTCCCCTCTGACTTTCCCACCCACATCCAGTCAGCCGCCCCACCTGCGCATGCCCAGCTTTAACTCACTTCCCGAACATCCCAAGTCTGGGTCCTTGTTACTCCTTCTCGCCGCAGGCAGCTCCAGGGGCCCCTCACGGCTGGGACAGCTGTCATTTTCACGCCCGCCCAGCGGCCAAAGCAGACTCCTGGTCCGCCCAGTGTCCCAGAGCTGGGGTGTGGCGGGCGAGGAAGGGTGAATGATTTCTTCTACCCTAGGGTTTGCAAGTTCAAGATTTCTTTCTAGGACTCTTGGTAGGGCTCTAGTGCCGTAGAGGAGACGAGGGGCAAACTCTACAGCTTGGTCTCTGGTCTCAGGACAGACAGACCATAGCTTAGTGCATTCTGCAGGCAGAGGTGGGTGTGGCAGGAGCACACGGCGGGGGGGGGGGGCCCGGAAGTGACCAGGTATTGAACTGGACACTGCTGCCTTGCAGCCCGCAGGGCACAAGGGCGGACACTGGCTGCGTCAGGGCAGGAAGTCATCTTGGAGGCTGGAAACTTCCTAGACCACTTGGACACTCCAGCTAGGATTTGGATTTGTGGAGTGGAGAACAGGAAGAGCAGTGCTGTGGGGTGAGGAGGAGGGAGGATGTGGGGAACTTACGTTTGGGGGAGTTGGCCTGGCTAGGGCAGGAGGAAAGAAATTCTAAGCTGGGCAAGGAGGTGCACACCTATAATTCCAGCACCCTG